CTATGGGCATACAACACAGGGCTTCATTGGTTTGTTTGGTCACACTTGGAAATTTTGGTCAAAATTTGTAAGCATTGGAGAACTTACAACTAAATTACTTGAGTTTTAAGTTGCTTAAGGGAAGAATAATTTTGTCCTTTCTAATCTAATGATTAACATTTATTTACAACAATTATTAAATAGCATCTAAACAACAAACATCGAAATAGCATTTGCAGTACCCGCTACTACTTTGGGATAGGATTCAATACTAGTCAATAAACGCAAGTTCGGTAGCCTAGTGGTTATGGCGCCAGGCTAGTTATCTGGAGGTCATGGGTTCAATTTTCAACCAGAATCACTTGCAAAATTGTTTTCATAAATATTTGGAAATGTACTGAGCAGGCCTATTTGGTACGATAACACGTCAGGTAGGGCAAAACTTCACTCCTACGATTTTTTAGAATAATCAGATTTTGCGCTGCTCTGCATGCGTCAGGAGCACATTATTTTTATGTCTTGCAAATGCACTCACTGCTAATTTCATAATATTGAATGAATCAAATTTAATCTGATGTAATAATTTTTGAAAGAACATTTTTAATGCTACTATGCTACGAAAAATTCAGACTTAAGCATTACAATACTATTACAGATTTCTCATTTTGTATTGGGCTTTTAAATTATTTATTTTTTTAATCGTGTGTCTTGATTAAAGGAATTACCATTTTAGTTTTAATGATGATAATGATGATGGTGTCGATGCTTAATAGCATCGACACCTTCATCACCATAGGTGTTGGTTACAAACGTGGTAGCTTTGGTTTGCTTACATTATGTTGACGTTGAGTTGGTGATGGTATGTGTGAACATTTTTAATTGTTTCGAGATGTAGCCTAACTGTATTATCATAGTCATTACCTTTACATATAGGTCACCCATAATACTATCACAATCGCCACGAAGACCACGAAACAGCCGATTTTTAAGCAAATTTGATTATCCCTTTCACTGAAAAACAATATCGAGAAGATTTCAGCTATATATTTATGATACAAATTATTAAACTCCGAGTTATCAAGTACTGCTCCATTTATAAATGAATTAATTTTTATTATTATTCTTTGTACGCCAAAAAATAAATAAATAAATAGATATAAACAAGAAAAAAAAACAAAATCAAAGTGCAATGCAATAGTGGAATAAACAGAATAAAAATACAATAAATTGAATGAGTCAGGAGGTACACAAAAGCGAACTTAATCACTGCAACAGAAAGTCAGTGAACCTCATTCATCTAGTTTAACATAAATACAATATTGTAAATGATATAGGCCAATTTTGAGGTAAACAAACAAACTTAACAATATACAGAAAGCAACTATCTAAGTTAGTACAGAAAATTAAGAGAAAAATAGATATATATATATAATTATGTAATAAATATCAAAATAAATATATAGAAAAGTATGTAATCCTTGATTGGAAACATAAATAATAATAATAATAATAATAATATCAATAATAATAATAATAATAAGTATTATTATTATAATTATTATTATTA